GGGGAAGGAGGGAGAACATTCAGTTCTAGTGAATGCCCTTTCTAGAAAGGCAGGCCTCTCTTGTCCACTGGCTCTCCTTTTCCAGCTCTCATGGGCTTAGGCCTTCAAGTGACCAGGGCCAGACAGGAGGAAGTCATCCTCGAACCACGGAAGGAGGGCCAACCTCCAGACGCCACACAGAAGCCAGAGGAGTTTTCTTGGCGGGTTGCTAAGGCCCAACCTACCAAAGTTGAGAGAAGCCAGGAAGAGATTCTAGCCTTGGAGACCCACACAGTTTCAATATGCACAAGTCCCAGTATGCATACATTTTGTGCCTAACAGCAACACTGTGGGAAGTCTGCGGAGGGAGAAGATCAGCTTCTAACCTTTTGGTTGGAGGCTCAAATACCCCGCTATCGCTGGCTAGCGAATAATCCGACAGGCATGCAGACACTCGGCGCGCTCTCCTCTCCAACCTCTTGGCACTGTCTTCTCGAAGAGTCACTGCTATAAACAAGAGACACACCTGGGGTCAGGAGGTGACAGCATGGGAGGCCGGGGACCGTGATGCCAAGAAATGAACACTCTAAGTTACAGCACATACAGAGTTACTAAGTGTTTCAGAGACACGCCATTATATATACATACATCATATATACATGCATATGTTTAAATATGCTGCGCTCAAAATTTTTTTTTAATATTGAAAAATTGAAGAAATCGACTTCTGGCTACTTCTTTAAAAGCTCCTTACTTTTTTTTTTTTTAAAGATTTTATTTATTTATTGGACAGAGAGTGAGCACAAGCAGGGGGAGCGGCAGGCGGAGGGAGAGGGAGAAGCAGGCTCCCCGCTGAGCAGGATCCCCTGAATGCGGGACTCGATCCCAGGACCCTGGGATCATGACCTGAGCCGAAGGCAGATGCTTAAACGACTGAGCCACCCAGGCGCCCCTAAAAGCCCTTTGGACAGTCACAAATCTCTCTTCACCTCCTTAATGAGCACAAAGAACAGTGGATGATGGGGGGACGCCCCTTCATGTCACACTTTGAGAAAGACCACCATCCCTGAAAGACCGGGAAAGAAAGGTTACCCCAAATGCAGACAGCACTTGTTACCTAAATGTATGCGAGTGGTAGGTAGGGGTATTTTTCATTTCCTTCTTTATGCTGCTCGGTATTTCCCATATTTTATACAATAAACATATACTCTATATTTTATAAGCAGAAAAAAAATTTTTTTTAATTATCCAAATAAACCCTAACAAGACATGGTGACTTTCAAGTCAGAGGACACGGCTGATCCCAGACTCAGCCTTTGGAAACAGCTCCTCTGATGGCAGTATCCTCCCAGCAGCCCTGGGGCCAGTTCTAAAATTGCTTTCCTGGGGTTAGCAAACCGCCGTTACTAGGCAGCTTATTTTTGCCTTGTAGCTCTTTTAATCGAGAGCCGAAAATAACCGTCGACATTCTCCCTTTTAGCATTTCATCCACTGTCATCGCTCCTTCCCTCACAAGTTCCTTTTCCCAGAGCCAATAAAAGCAGGCACACCATCCTCCCGGGCTAGGTGTGAACGTGCACACAGGAGTCTCCACGCCTTCCAGACAGGCAGACTCGGTGAGAAGACAGAAATTAACCACGGAGCCCCGAACCGAGCCTTCCTCTGACATCGCGATCCCTTTTGTTAACAGCGCGGGTCCCTCTGTCCTCTTCGTGCTGCTCTTTGGCCATCTAAGCTCCGAACACAAAACTCTAGGCACCTGTGCAGCCCTACGTTGAGGGAAATGTCCAGGCCACTGATGACCAGCTCGCTTTTCAACCAAATCATTATTCACACACCGATTAAATCCAAACACGCTAGACAACATACAAACAGACGGGGCTGTGGTCCCTGGTCTCACGATCTCAACTGCAGACAAAAGCTGTCCTTCCAAAGGTCTGCAGTGCCAAGGGTGGGCAGCTACAGACTCCTCCCTGACCAGGGACCGAAGCTGGCTCCATTCTGGGGTGGCTGGAGGCGCGGACTCTCAAAGTCCAGCACTTCCTGTCACTCCTGCCACACGGGGGGACCCAAAGCCCCCAGCTCGGAATCGCAGACGGAAGCCTTTTGTTGCATGGATCTCCGGCCAACGAGGCCACTCCCTATCTCCATCCCTAGCCCTGACCCTCAGCCCGGCTCCTCGGCCCAGCCTTGCATTCCTTCGAGGAAATACCACCAAGCAATGATCCCAAGCACTTCCGGTGAACCCGACGGTGCAACGCTCACAACGTTTCTCTCTCACTGCAATGGCGGTCTTGGAGGAGAAAAAGGAAATGAAGGAATTAATCCTCAGTGATCCCAGGCTTAGTTACCGCATTCACGGAGCAAGTCGCACCTGGCAGCAGGTGTCAGAAGGGAGTATGATCAGCGGTTGCCCTGGGTGAGAAAAAGCGCACAGCAGATCCCACGCTGCACCCCCTGCCATCTGCCCCGGGGCTTCAAGACAGCGAGATGGAGCACGGGGGGGGGGGGGGGGGCGGGCAATGCCAGGGAGGGAAGGAATAAACAGTCCTCCAAACATTCATTTTAAAACTCTCTGATCTTTCCATCATTAAAGACAGACAGACAGACACTGAGACCTAAGGACATCAGCACTGCTTGACGAAAAGAAAATATAATGAAAATCACATTTTGGGCAAAGCTGCCAGTTGGCATACAGTAAAATAATAAAAGCCACTAAAGTCTGGGAAATAATACAGAGGAGTAAGTACTTCAAGCTTTTAGAAAAGTTCTTGTACAACTTTAGTAGCCATAAGTATTAATGCTGAAATAATAATAATAACAACAACAATAACGGTAAGTAGCGAGCTACGTTAAAGTACAACTATGCGATACGCCCTTGTTGGCCACACCCCTCCTGTCCTGAACACACTGATTCATCACACAAAGATGTGCCTGCTGCCTGACCCACAAGGTGAAGGATTCCAAGGTCACTTACAGTGAACGTTTCTGTCGAGCCGCATGAGAAAGGAGATAAGGAAAAAAAGCACAAAGTGAAAAAACTGCAGAATTTAAGCGAACGATTTTAAACAGAGTATGAATATCATAAAAACGTCAATAAACGGATGACCTAAATCAAGGTTTTCCCAGATTTAGATTAGCAAAGACTAATGGGAAATGAAAATAGGAAAAGATTTCAAAAATCATGACACATTTGGCTTTAAGATTTTATTTTTAAGTACTCTCTACACCCAGCGTGGGGCTTGAACTCACAATCCCGAGATCAAGAGTCGCACGCTCCACGGACTGAGCCAGCCGGGCGTGCCGACACATTGGGCTTCTAAAATTTGCCTAGTGCCGCTCGTCGGCCGCAAGCACCCTGGGGGTGCGGGAATTCACAGAGGCCCCAGGACCCCCCCTTAGCGGCCTCTGACTACGGGTAGTAGTCAGGAGTAGAAATATTAAAAACATTAAAGATTATAGTCTATTTCCCCACTCCCCTGTCCCATCTTCTGCCTCCACAGATCGATTTAAAACACAGTGGAAGAAATCATTCCTAGAGCTTCCTTCGTAGGTTTGGGCAATTCTGAGTTTCAGCTTACTACAATTCTATCTTTCTAAAACTTGCCGGAGGTCAAACTTAGACTGTGTTGTTCCTAAGGAAACTAGAAAGTCGGGGGGAACTACATGACGGCAGGCATCGCAAACGAGGGGTTCAGGAACATAAGGAGTACAGAGATCCCTGATGACTCTAGGCTCAAGCGTTCCCACAAACATCAAGAGAGGCAAGAAGTCACTCTGTGTCCACGCCTGAAGCTGGTTACCCAATCCAGCCTTCTGGGAGCACCCACCAGGACCAGCGCATTCACTGAGTTAATTATTTCGAGTTTATAAAGACCCAAGTCAACTGACAATGTCATGCAAGAATTGACCACGAGGTGGCAGTACCTGAACGTAGCATAACCAAATACCGCCCAGCCTAAGGAGTCTGAACCATTGTAATGTCACTCAGAGTGGGAAGAAAAAAGTAAAGAAATCAGGATCAGAAGTTAAGTCAGCTCTTCTCCCTCTCATCCTGTCTTTCCCCTGGCCCAAAAGGGCTCTTGGGCCTTGGGATTTTCTGCCTAATGAGACTGATATTCTTGTGTCTCAGCCTTTAAAGACAGGCGGGCGGGAAGGCGAGGCATTGAGGGCAATCAGCTTAAGCAACAACAGATGTGCAATTTGGTCCCGATTTTGTTCTCTTTTTTGAATTAAAGGAGTAGACATGGAGCACGGACCTGTGATTATAAAGAAGAAAGGGAATGAGGGGCACCTGCGTATGTAAACTCCAGAAACCGTATACCTGGGGATGTGACAGGCGTGCTTGTAAACACAGAGAAGACAGCAAAATCACTGATGCCAAAAAGCCACAGGGCTGGCCTCCCGACCTCAAAGATCTCTGGTCCGGCACGTAGGTGCTAACAGAGACCATTTTTCTATTATAACTACAATAACCATTGTGGTCATATACATAAAACTCAGGCTAAGAGAACAGTGGTGAGCGAAGACCGCCCTGTTCACGGGCAGGGAAGCCAAGACTCAGCCAAGCCCGGGGATGCACTCAAGGTCACACGGCTAGCCAGTCAACAGGCCAGGGAACAGGATCTGGGCCTCTAAGCTGCGAGTCTGAAGCCGTTTCCACTACACCGCCCTGGCTTTGTCCTCACATTTAATTTCTGCCCCCTGCTGCTGAACCGCTCACCGGTACGCCGCCAGGTTTCTCAGCCTCGGCACTGCTGACATGTTGGCCAGATGGTTCCTGGAGGCGGGGGCTGTGCCGGGCACCGCACGATGGTGAGCCGCATCCCCGACCTCCACCCACCAGATGCCAGCAGTACCCCCTCCCACAGCCTTCACTTGTGACAACCCAACACCGTCTCCAGCCATTGACAAGGCCCTTCCAGGGTTCAAAATCTCCCCTGCTTAAGATCCACTAAGCTACACAAATATCTAGTGTTTGCCTAAATGGAATGTCTAAAACCTTTCTGCTGTGTAAATAAAAGTTCAGGAACTTCAGGAATGAGACCTTGCTCTTGGTGCTCTTGGAAACCTAAGAGAGTTAAAGTTGCTGGAGCTTGGCTCAGAAAAGCACATGGGGTCAAGATGAGGAGGGTCGGAGCCCAGGCCCTGCTTTGTGCATGAGCCATCAGCTGGAATATTCTTTAGAACACCAGTTCCGTTTTCTACGTGGGCTACCACCGGACAGGCCCAGGCACCAAGGAGAAGCTGATCGAACACGGACCAGATGCATGAAGTCCGCCTTGCTCGATTTGAGGAGCACCAGAGAAATCGGTTGGGTAGAAATGACGGATGCTTACTGGCATGTCTTTTGAAACTACACCAATCATTTTCATTCCCATGTTTGATAAATTACACCTTTGAAAACTGTAAGGACAAAGGCTAAGAGACAAAGTCACGGGGACAAAGGAAGTAGAGATGTGCACCGGGGCGACAGGCAGACCCAGCCTAGTGCTGCTCGTCGGCCGCAAGCACCCTGGGGGTGCGGGAATTCACAGAGGCCCCAGGACCCCCTTAGCGGCCTCTGACTACGGGAAACTGCGGGGCTTACCGTCCTTCTCAGCAATGAAGCACATCCTGAAAAGAAGCCAAGTGCCTGGGAAAGACGACTTGGCCATCTCCGTGACCTCTCCAGGCCCCAGACCCCACGGCCCCACGAGGAGAGCACGTAGACAGCAGGCGTGCCCTCCTCCTCACCCTACCAAGGCTGAAACCTACAGCTGGCCATGGAATTGAAGAGGCGGTGGGCTTCAGTGCAACTGCACGCGATTTCTTCCCCGAACCCGAAAGCCTTCTTCTCCCGGGATGGAGAAAACCCACAGCACTCCTCGGTACTTACTTGCAGCCGTGGGAGCGGGAGCGCCGGTCACTTGGGGTCCTCGCTCGCGAGGTCCTTCCCCATCCCCCGGGAACCCGTGCGGCTGAAGGGACGCCGTGCCCTGCAAGTCTTCGTCCCCCAAAGCACAGGCCTGAGCCCGCAGTCTGTCGAGGGCGCCCAGGCCGGGCACCTCGAAACTGTCCCCCAGTTGGGCCAAGGGGGAGTCGCGCGAGGCCGGGAGGAAGGGCGTGTCCAAGGGCGAGCTCGGGGGAGACAGAGAGGACAGGGAGGAGCGGGAGGACTGCGGCGTGTCCAGGGAGCGCCGCTGCGTGTGGAAGCCCGAGGGGCCCGGGGGGTCTGAGAGGGGGGCATCTCGTCCCAGGGAGTCGCAGGGAATGAGATCGAAGCGCAGAAGCTGGCCACACTCGATGTCGGGCTTCTCGTACTGCGGGAGGCCGTAGATGTCGGTGAAGCTGACGGAGCTCAAGGACCCGCGGCTGGAGGCGAGCGAGCCCCGGCTGGAGGCCAGGGACCCGCGGCTGCTCCCCGAAGACACAGTCAGAGTGCTGGCGGACAGGCTGAAATGAGAGATACCCCACGCTCGGAGAAAAGCGGCCTGAAGACCTGTGCTGCAGCCCCAGCATTCTCCACCGCAAAGCTGAGCATCTGGTCTGTTCCAGAGGGAACGAAATCCTGCCCCATCCTCCCATTAACCAGAGCATGTCTTTAACCACTCACAAGCATTTATAAGGCACCTTGACTACTACTTCCTTTGTTTCTTTTGAATGTCAGTAGAGAGCGATAGGTAACATCAGAGACTCACGCCTGACTTCAAGTTCCAGCTCAAACACGGACTAGCTGAGCCCACCGGGTCAAGCAATTTGCCCTTTCGGGAACCCCCACTTTCTCACTGGGGGTAGGGAGATAATCATTCCTACCTCGTGGCATTTTTAGGAGGAATGACTGAGAAAGTACACAGAAAGCCGTTAGTATTACGCTTCACAATATACTAACTGCCTTGAAAACGAAGCTATTACTGAGCATCCAATTCTTACTTTAAAAATATTCATATCAGGCGCCTGGGTGGCTCAGTTGGTTAAGCGACTGCCTTCGGCTCAGGTCATGGTCCTGGAGTCCCGGGATCGAGTCCCGCATCGGGCTCCCTGCTCGGCGGGGAGTCTGCTTCTCCCTCTGGCCCTCTTCCCTCTCGTGCTCTCTATCTCTCATTCTCTCTCTCTCAAATAAATAAATAAAATCTTAAAAAAAAAAGATTTTATTTATTTGACAGAGAGAGACACAGCGAGACAGGGAACACAAGCAGGGGGAGTGGGAGAGGGAGAGGCAGGCTTCCCGCAGAGCGGGGAGCCCGATGCGGGGCTCGTTCCCAGGACCCTGGGATCATGACCTGAGCCGAAGGCAGACGCTCAACGACTGAGCCACCCAGGCGCCCCTTCATATCATTTTTTAAAAAAAACAAAATAAAACTATCCATGTGCATAGGGAGATGGATATATACACCTCAGAAGCTGTAAATTATAAAATCATTAGACGAATTTGACTTCAGACTTGCTATTCTGCAGCCAAGCTTGGTTCTCCTCACGTTTCCTGAATCATACATTAGCAGCTCCTCTTAAAAACACAATGTAGCCGCTTTCCCACTCTGTGTGTACAACCTCCTCCGGTTCTAAATTCTGGTAGGAGAAAAACAAGCTAAAGGGAATGATGAAGCTCATGGACACACCACTATAACATGATAATTAGGTACAGTTTTCTCTTTTAAAGTTACCTGCCTTTTTAGGGGTGCCTGGGTGGTTCAGTCGATTAAGCACCTGACTCCTGATTTCGGCTCAGGTCATGATCTCGTGGAGCCTGCTTCACATTCTCTCTCTCCCTCTGCCCCCAACCCCCCAAAAATAAAAATAAAGTTACCTACCCTTTTTTTTTTTAAGATTTTATTTATTTATTTGACAGAGAAAGACAGAGACAGAGAGAGAGGGAACACAAGCAGGGGGAGCGGGAGAGGGAGAAGCAGGCTTCCCGCGGAGCACGGAGCCCGATGCGGGGCTCGATCCCAGGACCCGGGGACATTGACCTGAGCTGAAGGCAGACGCTTAACCATCTGAGCCACCCAGGCACCCAGTTACCTACCTTTTTAACTGGGACTGGAGATAGGACGTTAGGCGGGTAGCTTCTTCCAGCTGCATAAGTAGACAATTTCTTTTTTCTTGAAGTAGAATCCTGTAGGTAAGAAAATTGTCCATTGGTGGATTTCAAAGAGAGTGAGTTTATATTCCCAACAAGAAATTCAACTGTACATTTCCCCAAGTGATTTAGGTTTGAATGACTCAATTCTGGAAAACACATGTAGGCCACAAACACCAAGATAACAGAGACTGTTTTTGTCTTGCTTGACACTGTCCCCCCAGCACCCTGACCAGTGCCCGATACGCCGTAGACGCTCCACAGATGGGAGGGTGGGTGAACGGATGGGAGGGTGGGTGGGCAGGTGCCTGAACAGACAGGAAGGATGAGAGGCTAGACTAGAAGACGGCCTCAAATGCAGAACACGCAGTACTCTGCTGGAATTCCTTAGAACAAATCAGAGTCGCTCGCTTAAGCCCCGCTCCGGGCAAAAATGCACGGGTCCTAAAATCCATAGAATTAACATTAGACACAAATAAAACAAAACAGCAACTGTCACAGGGTTGAAGGGCATTTTTTCTGTTCTTTCCACTTTCTTCGACTTTAGGACTTCTGAAATGAACTTTGTTCACTGCACTAAGTCCCCTGCCTCGAATGGAGCCCTACACGTACAGGCACTCAACACTTCCTGAATGAATGAATGAATGAATGAACGAATGAATGTGTTTGCCTCAGAACAAAACAGTCCTTGTTTATAAATCAAACGATGGCATTTAACATGTGACCAAGTAGGCACCCTTAAAACAGTCACTCTGTCCTTTGACCGGGGAAAGGCTTGACACCGTGCCAATCCCCAGTGACACTCACTACCCCAGCACAAAGCTCCTACCTGACGATGAGGGCACCGGGGTCGAGACAGGCAAAGACTGGCCAAGCAGCGGGCCCATCTCAGCCCCAAGACGCCACCCTCGGTCGCTTTGTTCCATCTCGACACTGGGTCTCTCTAATGCCCCTCAGCCTGCTCCCAGGGAAAGCCGCCCACCTCAGGGGCCCACGCTTCTAATTCAAGCATGCATCCGATGACAGGAGGCGCACAGAGAAAGAGGCCTGCCTCTGCCAGGCCCAGAACAGCCCGGCTGCAGGAGCCCTGGGGGGCACTTGGCCCCCCTGCCTCACCGTGCAGCACGGTTGCAGACAGAGACCGTTTGCAGAAGTGGCCGGCACGAAAGTGCTTGTCAGCACAAGGGGACAGCCCTCCCTGCCCAAGACCGTTTAGTGGCAGATTCAGGAGACACACGTGGGCCAATTCAGTCCCAGTGGAGGGCTCTGCATCCCAGGACTCAGCTCCTGGGCTGGTCCCACAAGAGACTCCATCAGCTGGACGAGCTTGGCTGACCCGGTCCCTGAACCCGGGCATCGAGGGTCACACCAGCTCCACGGGGTTCTGTGGATTTGTACCCTGGGACCCCAGCACTCCCATGTGCTGGGATTTCCACGAGGCAAAGGCAAAAACAGTCAGGGGTGCATGGGTGTGGGGTCCTGAGAAGCAGGGGGCATTCATGGGACAGAGTCCACCCCCCTTTAAGAGACAACCAACCCCACGAACTCCCAGGCCCTCCTACCCAGAACATATACAACAGAATACCAAGAGGAGAGCAGAAGCACAAGAGCACAGACGAAAACTTCAGTTCGTGGTCCCTTTCCAGACTCAGGATCAACTCCACGTTTATTCTGAGTCAAGTGACAGGGCACGCGATCATCCCAAGCAAACTAAAGTTCACTCCAGCTATTTCTCTGAGCTGGGCTCTCCCAATGCCACCACTTCCGGCCAGCACTGACATCAGCCGCTAAAGTCACCACACAGACCTCTATCTATTAAGGATGACTCTCCAAGCACCGATAACCCCAGCAGTACCTCGGTTGGGTAAGCTCCCATGTGATTAAATGACAGGCCTAAGGGCATCTGTACAGATGCCCTTCACCTATTAAACTCTACGTACAGAAGGCTCATACAGACACAGTGTATGGTCCTCTTAACACACTGAATTTGAAGGTCCAGTAGATTATCACATGGGGGGGGCTCTCCAGAGCTCAGCTGATACCCACAGACACTCCTGACAGCCGTGACATGGGGAACGCAGACCCAGCCTCCGACGCGGCCCGTGACCGCACGTGGCCAATGGAAGCCGGCAGCCCGGCATGCGCCAAAAGGCCAGGCAACAGGGATTCAGGCTGCCGGGCTGGCCTCACGCCTCCGAGGCCAGCGGAGAGCCCAGGACAGAGTGGGGAGAGGCGCCTCTGGGGGCGGACGCACGCCCGGCTGCCGGCTTCGTGCTGCCACAGAGCCTCTCCCGGGGCGGGGGGGGGGGGGGGGGGGGGAGGCTGGCGCTAAGCAAGGGGCTCCCAGCTTCCCTCACTTCCTCCCCCCTTCTCCATCCTGTCCTCCTTCTGAACAGGGAACAGGAACCCCGGGAGCCCTGGGCAGAGCCGGCACCTCCCACAGAAGGGAAGGCACACGCTCCCTCCACCTTCTGCCTTCCCTCTACTCGGCCAGGAAACACACCAGGCGGCCGATGCCCTGCGTAACAATGACCAGGACCAATCTCAAGTCACGTGCAAGTTCTCCGAGTTAGCTTTTCCGGGTGGTTCTTCCCCCGAAGCTGAGCCCTGCGTGCTCCTGGACCCGCGGAAGCCAGCCCACCTTTCCGTGGCGCCCTGCGCCGACGTGGCCCGCGCTCGCTGGATCTCCTCCTCCAGGCGCCTCCTCTCCTCCTCCAGCCGGGCCACGTCTTCCACCGGCCTTCTCTGCTGAATGATGAGCTGCAGCTCTTGAAGCAGGGCTTCCTTCTCCTTGAGGAGCTGCAGCCGGTCCCTGTCGGCCTCGGCCAGGCCCGGCCACGACTCGTTATCAAGCTGGGCCAGCTGCTGCTGGATCGTTGACACTCTGCAAGAGACGGGCCCAGAAAAATCCGTGAAGTCAAAATATCACCACCCATTCTCCACACCATCGCACGGATTCTAGAAACTCACTCTGCTGAGTGGACACTGAAATTATTGCACCAAGTGAACCTTAAATGACAAAAACAAAGCACCTGGAAAGGATGGGTCATAAAAAGAACGTGGAGGTCCCCTACATAACGCCCCCTGGCCTAGGAGATTTGGGATGGCAGTAAGCATGGCATGCTTGCTTCAAAGGATGGACAGGAAGGCTGGCATCCTCCACACCCCCGCACTGTGTTGTTACAGATTCGTGCTTTCCTCCACGGCACTGTCCCAGAGCAGGACGGAACCAGCTCCTCTCTCCACATCCCCCATCAGCAGCAGCTAAACACAGTGCTGGATACACGAGAGAAGCTTCTGGCTTCCTGCCTGCTCTGCCGTACCTAACTGCCAACACCACGCGGACAAAATGACAGGAGAGAAATGCACCCATCACGGGACTTCTGAAGAGAAACCCCCCGAAGCCTGGCGATCCATGTCTTCCAGCTCTGTTTGCTCTCTCCAGCACCAGGGACCTGGAGCACAAGTGACACTCAAAACGCCTTGCAGAGAGCAGACACTCAGCAAAAGCTGAACACGGGAAACTGTGAACAAGCACGCCAGCAAATACACGGGAGCATGAGAGTGAGCCCTGCTAAGCGCGGCCACCGGGGGCGTGCGGGGGGGTGCAAACCAGTCAGCCTCACCAAACGTATCGGCACGACCACCCTCCGGGGGTAGAAGTACGGACGCTGCTGTCACCTTCCACGTGCCTACACTTCCACGTGTTTGGCACACAGACTGCATCGCTTTGTGCCCTTTAATGCAGATTAAATGAGACGGATGTGGCTTGTATTTGCAGAGCAGCCTTTCACGGGTGGAGTAGAACGATTTCAGCCCTTCAAGTGTGGCTAACTAGGAGGGCTATCTGTTTTCAGACAGAAACGAGCGACGCCAGACTCGCCCTGAACCCAGCGCTCTGGAGGGCAGATGTTGGTACACATGCCCCAAAAATGAAATCCAGAGACTCCCCTGAGGTCACAGAGAGCTGTGAAGACAGGGAAGTGGCAGGGACACACAGCCCTGCATCCTCCAAGGCAGCGATTCTCAAAGTGGGGTCCCCGACCGGCACGCAGCCTCCGCATTACCAGGAGCTTTGTTACAAATGGAAATCTCAGGTGCCACCCCAGAGCTGTTGAATGCGACATGCTGGGGATGGGGTTGGGCAACCTGGGTTTTAACAAATCCTCCAGGTACTTCTGATGCTCACTTCAGTTTCAAAACCCTCTGCTTTCAGGCAGCCCGGCCTGGTCTGGAGGATCCTAATTGGCCGTGGAGCTCTTAGGGGCCTGCATTAGGCTCCAGTGTGATGATCCTCACTAATACAGGAACGGCAGGAGCGCTCCTCACACCACCCTGTCCCCTGCCCAGGACACACAAACTAATCAAAGCTGGCATCCTGCCCACTAGGTCCAGACCTCAGAATCCTTCTCAACGCTGTGTTCCCTGCAGATACTGCCAATCAGCTGGTGTTGGCCCACATGTTAGAGCCTGTTGGCCAGCCCCGCACCGGGTCAGGCTCCTCTTGAGCTAGACATGAGCATGGGGCCTAGTCAGCCTGGCTGGAGGGCTGGGTAAGACGCCTTCTTCAAGTACCAAACCAATCAAAAAAACCAACAGCTTGAAAAAAAAAAAAAAAGTGTAGGGGCACCTGGGTGGCTCAGTCTGTTAGGTAAGCATCTGCCTTCGGCTCAGGTCATGATCTCGGGGTCCTGGGATCGAGCCCCGCATTGGGCTCCCCATTCAGCAGGGAGTCTGCTTCTCCCTCTCCCTCTGCCCCCATCCCTGTTTGTGCTCTCTCTCTCCATCTCTCAGATAAATAAATAAAATCTTTAAAAAAAGTATATAAGTTACAGTTTAAACGTGCACATTTGACTCAAGTCCAATTCCCCGAGAAGGTAAAGAAAATAGTTGAATGTCAGTCGCTGTATTATGCAAGTTCTTTTCCAACTTAAAATTAATTTCCTGAAAATTTGTTGGAAAATGGTGCCAAATCATGTCACTGAAAAATACTACAGGCAGAGGTGGCTGACCAGGACTACGAATCCAACCGGGCTTGAGCGTCCATCTATGTCTAATTAGTGTGATGGAAATTTATGGCAGTCATATAACTGAAGCCCAAGGAAAATACACTCCAAGTCGGCCCATCAATAAGTTAGTGCCGAATCAGACATTATACCCAATGAAATTTCCGGAACGTTTCTACCGGAGATCAAGACAAGTCAAAAGTAAGAAATAAATATGAAAGAGGTGAACGACACTGAGCAAATCCATTGTGTCCTCATAATTTTTCATTACATTAATCTGATCAACCCGCAGGAAAGCCTCTCTGAACCCAGCTGAAGTTCGCGGTATTACTTTGTAACATATACTAATTCTCATGCATATACTACATGCACCCACGTTTTTTTTTTTAAAGATTTATTTATTTATTTATTTATTTGACAGAGGGAGACAGCGAGAGAGGGAGCACAAGCAGGGGGAGTGGGAGAGGGAGAAGCAGGCTTCCCGCTGAGCAGGGAGCCCGATGCGGGGCTTGATCCTGGGATCGTGACCTGAGCCGAAGACAGACGCCCAACGACTGAGCCACCCAGGCGCCCCCAAGCACCCACATTTTTAAAAGCACTCCCTCTGAGTTTTCTGAGGTGTACATGGGAGGTGATCAAGATTCCATTTGAGTTGGCCAGGTGCTGGTCAGCTGGAACTCTACAAGCATTCAAGTTGCTGAGGGGGGCAGAAGATCCAACCCTAGATAATTCTACGGTTCCCAGGCAAATCTCAAGTAATGTCCACTACCAGAAAACAGAACGAGGGAAGACAAGAATTACAGGCGGGAAGAGAGGCAAAGGGCCGACTTCAAAAAGTCTGTCCACCGAAGGCGTAAGAGTGCAGCGGCCCAAGTGCCACACAGTACTGTGACTCTGCTTACAGGACAAGTACGCACAGACACACGACACGGCAAGGGACAGCCTCTGCAGCACAGACAAGATCGGGATAAAGCTGACTTCTAGAAGTCCATCTAGAAAAGCTGTTTGGGCTATGCTGAACACGAGGCAAGCGCTTCTACGCTGAAGAACAGTGCTTTTTCACATAATTACATTTCACAAGGATGTAAATGACTGCATGGTCGTCTTAGAGCTATCTATGAATCCAGAAGAATATGGATATATAGTGCCAACTGCCATTTCTTTCCCTATATCCACATTCCAGATGCAGACATTCGGGGCCTGCTCTCAGCCAGGTTGAGAGTGAGGCACATATGTCGTGTCTGTCTGCACTGGGGAAGCCAAAAGCTCTAGAAGGATTCCTCCAGTGATTTCTTGTGCATTCACCAAGGGATAGACAAGACGGCTTTGCCTGTGCTGCTCGCCTAGAAACAAGCCGTCTGCAAGGAGGATGCTTTGTGTGTTAGGTTCAGTGGAGGAGACAGACTTTGTGCCTAAGGCTAAACACAGATGTAGAGTTACAGTGCCCCTTCCTCCACAGCCACGCCATGTGGCTGACCCGGAGGCCGGGACCCCACTCCTGCGAGTACCATCATTCCAATTCTGAGCAATATGAGAAAAACAATCGAAAGGCGCTTTTTTTTCCCCCTGAAATATCATTTCAGTGAAATTAAATACATGAAAGCAAAGTAAGGTCATGATTAAAGCTGGCAAAAAAGAAACTTCCCCAAGGTCATTTTTATTTTTTTACTTTATTTTTTTATTTTTTTTTAGATTTTATTTATTTTTTGAGAGAGAGAGAGACAGCGAGAGAGGGAACACAAGCAGGGGGAGTGGGAGAGGGAGAAGCAGGCTTCCCGCTGAGCAGGGAGCCCGATGCGGGGCTCGATCCCAGGACCCTGGGATCATGACCTGAGCCGAAGGCAGACGCTTCACGACTGAGCCACCCAGGTACCCCACCCCAAGTTCATTTTTAGAGAAAACCCGAGAGCAACTTAAAATTGGCGAGGGTTTTTTTTTTCCTATAAGTCGACCGTAATCTGCACTGATTCTAATTTTTGACAGGTAATACATTTTATGGCCTATATATAACCTCTCACAAATGCCTTTAAAAGCATTAAAATATATGTCCGTGTGCTCATGATAGAGAAGAAACAAAAGCGAATCCTCAAATCAAGCGTTCAGGTTTCATATTTATTATGTGACCTCCAAATTCTATTCCCTGAACAGGTCTAATGCAGGCAGAAATAAAATATGAATCATTTTTCCCTCACTATTTTTGCCCAAACACATTTCTGTTATAACCCAGGCACCATTAAACCATGAATGGAAACCTGCATTGATGCTGCAGAAACTCCTGAGACCCTCACAATTCACACGGAAATCCTAAATGTGATTTGCATTTTTATTGCAAAAAACGCACTTCTAATATAACAGTTTTGAGGTATATTTTACATATCCGAAATAATCCTTAATTATTTGCATTTATACGTAAAGCCCGCAGTCTACCATATAGTTTTGCATGTTCCTAAGATATGGCTGCTTTCTGGAAGGGAAAAGGAACTCCAGGCAAGCCACGGTCCCATCTGATGGTTATGAGACATGACGGGACCCCAACACCACAGTCTGGGGCACGATGTCAGCTTAGAGCCTTGTGCCTTCAGATTTCAATTGCGGCTACAGATTTGATACTTCTTTTGTTTTCTCTCTTTAGTTTTCTTTTTGTAAATATCCATGTAAGTGAAAAGCAAAAGTTCAAGAAAACCTCAGCTGAGATCGAGGTCAGATGGGTGATAAAATCACTTCAACTGATTGAGCTAAATATTGATAAACCGGTGTCCATTTGGCTCAGCTCTCTCTAGTCTACATTAGAAATTCGAGAAATCTGAACCTAGAATATGTGGTGGAGGAAGGGTCTACTCACACCCCCACACCCCTGCCTGCCCTCACGTCGTTTCCC